TATTTTTAGTAATGTATTTTAGTGAAAAAGCAAATTGCTTAGTTTTTTTTTTTTGTGTTAGAAATGTTTTAGTTTGTTTTTAGAATAATATTGGAACACTGTCTCAAAATAAATAAATAAAAATATAAATAAAAAAATAAAATGAAGATGTCTCATACTACTTATTTTATATCAAATATAAATTAGAAGATGTCTCGTACTACTTATTTTATATCAAATATAAATTAAAAAAATAAAAATTCATTGTAAAATTGTCTCAAATACAAATTTATTTTATATGTTTGTTTTTCTAACTAAACATGTTTTTTTATTTTTTCTTGTATCTTTCATTTTTTTGTCTTAGGCGGCTCCATCTGCAACATGAAAAGGCTAGAGCTTAAATGAACCGAGTGATATCAACTGCACAAACAAAATTGTGTCGGTTTCCCTATCTAGGTGACATTGCTGAATTACTGCATGTAGCACGAGATGATGGAAGATCTGTAGCAGTGGTGAAGGAGCTATATTGATTGAATTCTCTCTTCATGGCCTTGTAAACTTGTTCTAAGCCTTCTTCTATCAATTCCAAAACTGTGTGGCATTGGCGGGGTGTTTATATCCATTGATCCTTCTATTTTCACTACTTCTCCCATTGAAGGTCTCATGAAGACCTCATCTTGAATGCACCAAAATGCCACTTTCAGTGCTCTCATTAGCTCTTCTTCTTTTACTGATCCTTCCAGTCTGCGATCTGCTGCTCTCAGTGGCGTATCATTCGTCATCGCCTGCACAAGTCCATTGAAGAAATGATCAGATTAAACAAGAATTACTGCCATGAAGCACTCATTGTAGGTAGGGTTGAGGGAGAAAACTTAATTTAGACACCTTAAAAGCCCACCCAGGGTAAAAGAAGTCCTCTGCATCAAAAGACATGTCGAGGTTTCTCCTGCCACCAACAATCTCCAAAAGAAGCATCCCATAACTATAAACATCAGCCTTTACAGTAATCGGCCTGTTGCTAATCCATTCTGGAGCCAAATACCCTCTTGTTCCTCGAACCATGGTAACAACATGTGAATGCTCTCTTCCCATAAACTTAGCTAGTCCAAAATCTGATACTTTAGGACAGAAGTTCTCATCTAACAGAATGTTCTCTGGCTTGATATCGCAATGAATTATCCGGTTCCTGCACTGTTCGTGAAAGTATGCAATCCCTTGCGCAGTAGCTATGGCTATATCGAAGCGCGTTGACCAATCCAGCAGTCTGTCTCGGAAACTATATGATGGAAAGATCCATTTGTCTAAAGACCCATTTTTCAGAAACTCATAAACTAGGAGACTGCATGCCAATGCCAATGAACCAATAAACCATGTTTTAGACTCTAGTATCTGAAGAATGTTGGATGAACCAATGACATTTGAGGTTTTTCAACACATTGAAATGACCAAACTGTTTTCTGAGAAACATTTCTTACCGATGCGATCCCTCGGAGCAGTACCCGCAAAGACGAACCAAGTTCATGTGGTGCATAGAGCCTATGGTGTTAACTTCAGTTATAAATTCTTTCTCCCCATGAGGCAAAACCTTGTCTAGTTTCTTTACAGCAACCAAAGTTCCATCTCCAAGGCTTCCTTTGTATACACTCCCAAATCCTCCTGCAACACAGCGATAGCATGCATAAAATCATAAACAAAGCTCAATTGACTCAAATTTCCTCTGTTTCAATTCCTCTGTTTCTTTAGTAGACATGGCATCATTTCTGATCAATATTTACCTGTTCCGAGCAGCTGTGAAAAATTGCAGGTGCGAATTTGCAAGCCTCGGTAAGTAAAATGTATTGGAACGCCAGGAAGAATAGGAGAGCTTTCCATAGCTCTTCTCAAGGATCTCTTTTTGTGAACATTGTGATATAGTAATAGGCATAGGAGGACAACAAGAAATGTCATGCTGAGAACTATAGGTACAAGCAAAACCTTCCTTTTTGTATCACTATTATCAGACCCACTTTTATTGCCTCCTAGAGTCATCGATTCATTCGCTCTAACCTTCACAAACAAGGTGGATCCAGGGTCCTCATATCCACCAAAGTCTAAGCTCCTCAGTATCCAGCAATAAGGATTCTCATCATCAAGCCCATAAACAGAAGCCACACACTCACAATCTGATAGGCAAGCATCACCACACTTTGACACTGTAGGAATGTCACTGTAGTTTGCAATCACCGAAAAATCGGAGAAATAGTAATTTGTTTGCTGCACTGCTGCAATCTTGAACTCAGATGTCTGATTTGCGTTTCTCGAACCACATCTTCCAATCGACGATGAGTTCTCCGAGCAGAAGTTATCGCCTCCTGCCTTGGAAGTACAAGGCAAGCATGAACAAGAAGCAATAGTCTTGCTTCTATCCAAATTACACACCCCATTACCACATATTCCAGCAATCTCACAAGGGTTTGACACTGCAGCCCACTCTGGAACCCACTGCCTCGAACCATTAACATCGTTATCCCATCTATACAATCTCAAATTTCCGTTAGTCTCAAGAATTAGTCTTCGAAGAACTGATAACCGAGTACTTGATTGACTTGAAGCGAAACCTAATCCATTATAGTCACCATCATTTTTATACACATAAACTGCTCCATTTGATGATTCACCATACACAATTCCAAAGCTTCCTGCTTCATCTAAAACCGCAACCACATCCCCCGTAACATTCGAAATGTCCGGCCCAGGCCAGTAGGAATAGTTTGCATAAGTTTCAGGTGCAGCATCATAGGTTTCAGGCAAGTTATATGTTAAAGCAAGGCTTAGTGAAGTGGGCTGTTGTAACATTTTGAGAGAGTAATAGCCACCTTGTGAAGGTGATTTTGGTACTGATGTTAGTTCAAGAGATACTGTTAAAGGCTGGTTTGGAAGTAAAGTATCAGAAGGGTGTTCAAAACTTTGCCATGCTGAGTGGTTGGAGTTAGAGTGGAGGATGAAGTTGCCAGTTTCTTCCATGCTTGCTGATGTAACGCCTGCGTCGGAGGTGTTTGACATCCAGACTGTTCTGTCCCCGTCTATTAGGACTAGGTTGCCTGTGGTGTCCAGCTCCAGGAATGCGTTTTTGGTGACCAGAGAGTTTCTATATATTAGATTATCACGGAGCAAATTCAGAAATTGTCACCTGCAAGAGCTTCTGTGAAGACTAAAGAAGGAGAAATGTCTCTGATTTTTCTCCTTCTCTTTTTTCCCTTGTCAAGATTCAGTGCCATTAATGATCTATAACAGATTTTCATGGACTTTGCAACTTATAAATACTGATTTAATACATTAATAATACAGTGAAACTGTTAGGAATAATACAAGAGCAAACTCTTTTAAAGCATGCAGAAACCATACATATATATCGCCCATTTATCTTTCTTTTGTTTTCTGCTCATATAAATAACCAAGAACGTCAGACTTTTGCTTTCAAATTTTCTTGATAGATTATCTTATATAATTCTCGAAACTATACATCGATTTCCATTTAAACTTCCAAGTCTTCCCATCTAAAATCATCTTAACTTTTCTAATATGTCAAGTTCTCTTTAAAATAACAGCAATTAATTCATGAAATCAAAACTATACATGAAAATTATAATGAACATAGAACCTGACGAGGTTTGAAGAAAATCCCAAGGGATGCGATTGAGGATTTCTGATATATTAAGGATCCAATTGAAACAAATTATTTTAGGAATTAACTCAAATAAAAACAATGTATAGCGTTGGGACTTGTACAAGGTTCTCCTTTTTAAACAAAAACAAATTCTTAGACCATCAGGTATAAATATAAGCATAAGCAAGCGTACCTGTTAGCTGACCAGACCAAGGTTCGATCACCAGGAAGATCTACGAACCAGATTGCCACTTGGAATTTGTCACGAGCAGTAGCCGCTGAAGCGAAACCAAAGGCAAAAGTGCCATTATCTGAAACCCATGCTTCATTTTGATCACGAGCGACCAATCTTGAACCCAAACCAATGCAGCTAGCGCTAGCCCCAGGGCCGACTAAAACCAAGAGAAAAACGACCAAACAAGCAGCCATGTCAGCAGCTTAGCACTAGTTAGCAGGCTACTAGCGCAAAATGCTCACAACCTGAAAGGGCCAAAGCTTTAAAATAGAACAGTGGCCATGCATTGTTATTCATGAGAGTGAGAATGGATTGAAAGTTTTTTTTGTAGAGAACAGAAATTGGAACATCATACCACGTGTACAGCGGTTGGTGAACGACCCTTTGAAAAAAACATACTCAGGTCAAATGGTCGGCTGGAGCGATAACTTCGGGATAATTAGTTTAAATCTATGTTGTTTTCTTTCTGCCTCGAACCATTAACATCGTTATCCCATCTATACAATCTCAAATTTCCGTTAGTCTCAAGAATTAGTCTTCGAAGAACTGATAACCGAGTACTTGATTGACTTGAAGCGAAACCTAATCCATTATAGTCACCATCATTTTTATACACATAAACTGCTCCATTTGATGATTCACCATACACAATTCCAAAGCTTCCTGCTTCATCTAAAACCGCAACCACATCCCCCGTAACATTCGAAATGTCCGGCCCAGGCCAGTAGGAATAGTTTGCATAAGTTTCAGGTGCAGCATCATAGGTTTCAGGCAAGTTATATGTTAAAGCAAGGCTTAGTGAAGTGGGCTGTTGTAACATTTTGAGAGAGTAATAGCCACCTTGTGAAGGTGATTTTGGTACTGATGTTAGTTCAAGAGATACTGTTAAAGGCTGGTTTGGAAGTAAAGTATCAGAAGGGTGTTCAAAACTTTGCCATGCTGAGTGGTTGGAGTTAGAGTGGAGGATGAAGTTGCCAGTTTCTTCCATGCTTGCTGATGTAACGCCTGCGTCGGAGGTGTTTGACATCCAGACTGTTCTGTCCCCGTCTATTAGGACTAGGTTGCCTGTGGTGTCCAGCTCCAGGAATGCGTTTTTGGTGACCAGAGAGTTTCTATATATTAGATTATCACGGAGCAAATTCAGAAATTGTCACCTGCAAGAGCTTCTGTGAAGACTAAAGAAGGAGAAATGTCTCTGATTTTTCTCCTTCTCTTTTTTCCCTTGTCAAGATTCAGTGCCATTAATGATCTATAACAGATTTTCATGGACTTTGCAACTTATAAATACTGATTTAATACATTAATAATACAGTGAAACTGTTAGGAATAATACAAGAGCAAACTCTTTTAAAGCATGCAGAAACCATACATATATATCGCCCATTTATCTTTCTTTTGTTTTCTGCTCATATAAATAACCAAGAACGTCAGACTTTTGCTTTCAAATTTTCTTGATAGATTATCTTATATAATTCTCGAAACTATACATCGATTTCCATTTAAACTTCCAAGTCTTCCCATCTAAAATCATCTTAACTTTTCTAATATGTCAAGTTCTCTTTAAAATAACAGCAATTAATTCATGAAATCAAAACTATACATGAAAATTATAATGAACATAGAACCTGACGAGGTTTGAAGAAAATCCCAAGGGATGCGATTGAGGATTTCTGATATATTAAGGATCCAATTGAAACAAATTATTTTAGGAATTAACTCAAATAAAAACAATGTATAGCGTTGGGACTTGTACAAGGTTCTCCTTTTTAAACAAAAACAAATTCTTAGACCATCAGGTATAAATATAAGCATAAGCAAGCGTACCTGTTAGCTGACCAGACCAAGGTTCGATCACCAGGAAGATCTACGAACCAGATTGCCACTTGGAATTTGTCACGAGCAGTAGCCGCTGAAGCGAAACCAAAGGCAAAAGTGCCATTATCTGAAACCCATGCTTCATTTTGATCACGAGCGACCAATCTTGAACCCAAACCAATGCAGCTAGCGCTAGCCCCAGGGCCGACTAAAACCAAGAGAAAAACGACCAAACAAGCAGCCATGTCAGCAGCTTAGCACTAGTTAGCAGGCTACTAGCGCAAAATGCTCACAACCTGAAAGGGCCAAAGCTTTAAAATAGAACAGTGGCCATGCATTGTTATTCATGAGAGTGAGAATGGATTGAAAGTTTTTTTTTGTAGAGAACAGAAATTGGAACATCATACCACGTGTACAGCGGTTGGTGAACGACCCTTTGAAAAAAACATACTCAGGTCAAATGGTCGGCTGGAGCGATAACTTCGGGGGTTTGATGGCCGTGTATGGTAATCAATAGCGATATTGTGGTTTTCAAATGGCGATGACGCCCCTATTGCCTAATACGTGACACGTATTTTCAGCCATTTGCATGAGATTGAAATTATTCAGTTTCACACTATTAACTTGTGATTGTGGAGGTAGTGACATGGGCATATCGATAAGTTATTAAACTCGTACTAATATAGATTAATTTAGAAAGTTTAAGATTTTGAAGCTTACAAATATAAGTTTTGGATTTGATTTGATTTAAATGAATTTTAATAATTTAATTAATCCAGCTAAACATGATAGAATGTCTTATAAAAATAAAATAAAATAAAACGTAATTGTTTTAATAAAAATAATTAGTTTAAATCTATGTTGTTTTCTTTTAATCACTCCTCCAACCAGATCTAATTAAGGAAGAATAAAATAAAATAAAAATAATTGGTTTAAATCTATTGGGATGTGAATTACAATGAAAAGCTTAGGGATACTTAATTATCAAAATATAATTTGTTTTTAATATAGAGATAAATAGAAATTTGTGAAAAGATGTTCCATGAAAACATCTCTTCATCTAAAACCGCAACCACATCCCCCGTAACATTCGAAATGTCCGGCCCAGGCCAGTAGGAATAGTTTGCATAAGTTTCAGGTGCAGCATCATAGGTTTCAGGCAAGTTATATGTTAAAGCAAGGCTTAGTGAAGTGGGCTGTTGTAACATTTTGAGAGAGTAATAGCCACCTTGTGAAGGTGATTTTGGTACTGATGTTAGTTCAAGAGATACTGTTAAAGGCTGGTTTGGAAGTAAAGTATCAGAAGGGTGTTCAAAACTTTGCCATGCTGAGTGGTTGGAGTTAGAGTGGAGGATGAAGTTGCCAGTTTCTTCCATGCTTGCTGATGTAACGCCTGCGTCGGAGGTGTTTGACATCCAGACTGTTCTGTACCCGTCTATTAGGACTAGGTTGCCGGTGGTGTCCAGCTCCAGGAATGCGTTTTTGGTGACCAGAGAGTTTCTATATATTAGATTATCACGGAGCAAATTCAGAAATTGTCACCTGCAAGAGCTTCTGTGAAGACTAAAGAAGGAGAAATGTCTTTGATTTTTCTCTCTCTTTTTTCCCTTGTCAAGATTCAGTGCCATTAATGATCTATAACAGATCTTCATGGACTCTGCAACTTATAAATACTGATTTAATACATTAATAATACAGTGAAACTGTTAGGAATAATACAAGAGCAAACTCTTTTAAAGCATGCAGAAACCATACATATATATCGCCCATTTATCTTTCTTTTGTTTTCTGCTCATATAAATAACCAAGAACGTCAGACTTTTGCTTTCAAATTTTCTTGATAGATTATCTTATATAATTCTCGAAACTATACATCGATTTCCATTTAAACTTCCAAGTCTTCCCATCTAAAATCATCTTAACTTTTCTAATATGTCAAGTTCTCTTCAAAATAACATCAATTAATTCATGAAATCAAAACTATACATGAAAATTATAGTGAACATAGAACCTGACGAGGTTTGAAGAAAATCCCAAGGGATGCGATTGAGGATTTCTGATATATTAAGGATCCAATTGAAACAAATTATTTTAGGAATTAACTCAAATAAAAACAATGTATAGCGTTGGGACTTGTACAAGGTTCTCCTTTTTAAACAAAAACAAATTCTTAGACCATCAGGTATAAATATAAGCATAAGCAAGCGTACCTGTTAGCTGACCAGACCAAGGTTCGATCACCAGGAAGATCTACGAACCAGATTGCCACTTGGAATTTGTCACGAGCAGTAGCCGCTGAAGCGAAACCAAAGGCAAAAGTGCCATTATCTGAAACCCATGCTTCATTTTGATCACGAGCGACCAATCTTGAACCCAAACCAATGCAGCTAGCGCTAGCCCCAGGGCCGACTAAAACCAAGAGAAAAACGACCAAACAAGCAGCCATGTCAGCAGCTTAGCACTAGTTAGCAGGCTACTAGCGCAAAATGCTCACAACCTGAAAGGGCCAAAGCTTTAAAATAGAACAGTGGCCATGCATTGTTATTCATGAGAGTGAGAATGGATTGAAAGTTTTTTTTGTAGAGAACAGAAATTGGAACATCATACCACGTGTACAGCGGTTGGTGAACGACCCTTTGAAAAAAACATACTCAGGTCAAATGGTCGGCTGGAGCGATAACTTCGGGGGTTTGATGGCCGTGTATGGTAATCAATAGCGATATTGTGGTTTTCAAATGGCGATGACGCCCCTATTGCCTAATACGTGACACGTATTTTCAGCCATTTGCATGAGATTGAAATTATTCAG